CGTTTGGGATCAAGAATCTGATTTTTGTCATTGAGGCCAAGATCAAAGTGATGTTGGGACGTGAAGGCCACGACATTCCGTCTCCCTTGTGTTCACGTTGTTGTTGTTGTTGATCTCAGGAATCAGTTCACCTCAGTCAGCACCTCTCTCGCCTCTGGCACAGGATGTGATCTCCAGCTCCCGACGTGAAAGGCGTTTTACAAATATTATTTGTTGTTGTTCCGGAGACAATCCGGGTTATGATTTGAATGACAGGAACCTTCCTCACCACCCCCAACCACGTGGTTAACTTTCCCTGTGGCTGAACATACACTGGGACTCAGTGGCTGAGTGTGGGTAACTGAATGGGGTGGGTGGGAGGGGGGTGGGTGGGGGCGGAGGAGGTGTTGCTATTTTTGGATCTTCTTGTTGTGCTGCTGAACAGTACCAGAGTCTGCTCAGAGATGCTGTCCTGCGTGGAGGTCGCTATATAAGTGCAAATTGTTGTTGTTGCTTGGGGGGAAGTACTGGTGTGAACACACCCACTGTGCTGACTGAACCACAGACAAACTTGCAGTAACATTAATATCAGGCAGTTCGGGGAAGGCAGAGGCTTGGATGAAGAATCAGTGCATTATACAGAGAAATTGGAAATTAATAATCTTAGCATTTGGTCTCGCGCCTGTAAAGCAGCAACGTCCAAGCAAGTAGGCAAATGTCAAACCCAATTTTGCGCACAGCAAAGACCTGCAGTTAACATAAATTGAGTGTCCAATTTCTATTGAAAACATTGTTCACTGAATATCGGGGGAGATTCTCTCAGCTGTAACAGATGGAAACAGACCATTTGTTTATACTCAACATGTATCTCTGGGATGTTACCCCACGTAAAAGGCGCAATATAAATTCAAGTTGTTGTTTTCGTTTCCACCCCTTCTCTCACACACCTCTCTATTCCGTCTCCCTCGTGTCCACCTGAACCAGCAAACATGATCTGGGATTAATTGGTTATTTTAAAGGAAGGAACACGTGATTTTACAGGAGCTTCTACTTCTTGAGCAAGTTGAAAACAACAACAACTTATTTACATTGAGCTCCTCACTGGGGATGGAGCTGAAATCAACCCAAACATTCATTGTTGTTGTTGTCCTTCCCTCTCCTTGCCATCTCCAGCATCACTCTCATACCCACACCCTTTGCTTCTGCAGCTCTGATCTCCAATATATAATGATCCTGGTATTTGCCACATTGGCTTATCACAGCATTGCAATGTCTCAAAGTGCTTCACAAAATACCTTGTGAAGTAGTGTCACTATTTAGTGGTGGTAACTCACTCTCTCGGCCCCACAGTCAGTGGCTGAAGTTTCACTCTGGAACTTTCACGCCAAATCCGGTCACCTCTCACCTCCTCTCCAGGCTTTCAAAACGTTTGAAACACTGATCTCTCTGAAACTCTTCACACTTTGGGCAAATCAGCTGCTGTGTTTGACCTGCGAGCATTCACCTTTTTTTCTATATTTAATTTTAAAATCTTTTGAGAAGTTTGTTTTTTAGAGTTAATGTTGCTGCTCGTGTTTCGCATGTATGAAAAGCTTCTATATTCAACAATACTGTGGAGAAAGGGAGTGTGTGAGAGAGAGAGAGAGAGAGAGAGTTGGTCAGGCATACAGTGGGGAAATTAGGAGCGTCAGACTTGACATAAATCCTGACTGTCGCAATGACTAGGGGAGCTTGTGGCTGGCTGCAGACGGGGAGGGAGCTGAAATCCAACATTCCCAGAGATAAGTGTGAACTTTGCCTTGGAACACTGGAGGAAGAGGAGGGGGAGGGAGTTACACAGCGAAGGTTTGATTCTCATACACAAGCTCTTGTCTCGGGCCGGCCTGTGGGTGTGCCAGGGGGGATACAGCTGTGTCTTTCTGAGCAGCTAAGCCCTGACCTCAGCCCTGCACACACACTGCCACGGTGAGTGCCTGCAGCAACATGGGAATATTTCAGGAGGTGCTGTGATGTGGGATTGTTTTCGGTGTTTAACAACAACAACAACAACAAGATTCCATTTATAGAGCGCCTTTCACGTCAGGAGGACGTCCCAAGGCGCTGCACAGTTGGGTCATGACCCGAGCAGGGGGAAATGGTCAGGGTGAGGGGAGGGAAGGGAGGGAGAGGAGGGGGAAATGGTCAGGGTGAGGGAGGGAGGGAGCGAGGAGGAGGAAGAGAGTCGAGAGGGGAGCTGAAGGCACGGTCAAAGAGAAAGGTTTTGAGACCGGCCTTGAAGGAGGAAAGGGAGGAAGCAAGGCGAAGGCACTGGGGGATGGAGTTCCAGAGCCTCGGGGCTGAGAGGCTGAAGGCCCGACCACCGATAGTAGGGCGGTTGGGGCGGGGGACGTGGAGCAGACCGGAGCCAGAGGAACGGAGGGTACGGGCAGGTAGGTAGGGGGATAGTAGGTTGGAGAGGTAGGAGGGAGCAAGGCCGTGAATGGCCTTGTAGGTGAGGATGAGGATCTTGAAATCCGTGTCCTGGTCAAAGAGAGGGTTTACTGGAATCCGAGAGGATATCGGGAAGTGTCCCTGTGGTTGTTCCCAGCTTCCGGAAGTTGTCAGGCCATGGCCGGGGAAGCGGTGAAGCAGTGCCAGACTCTGATCCCCGGTTTGTTTTGGTGACGTGAAGGTCCAGATGTTTATTGGTTGAGAATATTTCAAATCTTTGTTGTGTGATGGGAGTGAGGCCGGAACCCAAGTCACTGTCCAGGGTCGCCGACCATTAATTGTTTCCTCACTCATTTAAACCCCTGATTTCTGCTTGTAGGAACTTGGTACCTAATAATAATCACAATTGTTTAGGGTTAGGGTCAGGGTTAGGGTCAGGCGGGCACTGCTGCCAGGCTGCCTCTCTCACTCAGCTGATGGCGTTGAGTGAGGTTAGGCTGCTCATACCCTTGTGGAGTCCTGTAGTTCAGTGGTTTGAGCCCTCGCCTCGCAAGTGAGAGACCTGGGTTCAATTTATGGGCAGGGCAATTGGCTATCGCGTTTCGCTCACAAAATATATAGTCACTACACTTTACAGTATTGTGTGAAGCGCATTGAAGACGTGATAAGGTGCTGTACAACAACAACAACTTGCACTTATTTAGCGCTCTCCACGCAGGGTAGAGTCTCAGGGCGCTTAACAGTGGAGGAGCCTGACTCCGAGCTGGTGAGCACAGTGGAAGAGGAAGGTTTTCAGGTGGGACTTGAAAGAGGGGGTAAGGCAGAGGGATTGAGGGTGAGTATTCCAGAGTTTCGGGGCGTAGTAGCTGAAGCACAAGCTCTGATGGTGGGGCGGAGGGTGCGAGGGACAAGCAGGTGCCAGTCGAGTAGAGGCGCTGACCTGGTGGTGGATTGTGGAGTGAAGAGGCCGGAGAGGGAGGGAGGTGCCAGGGAGTGAAGGGATTTGAACACGAGAGTGAGAAGATGTTGAAGTCGATTCATTGGGTGATGAGGAGCCAGTGGAGCCTGGGCCAGAGCCGGTGAGATGTGGGGATTGAGTTTGGTTGGGGTCAGTATGTGGGCGGCAGAGGGTGAATGAGCTGATTTTGTGAACGGTGGAGCTGGGGAGACCGGCGAGGAGGGGGTTGGAGTAATCCAGGCGGGAGGTGACAAACACATGCACGGCTGCTTTTGGGGTCGGAATCGGGTAATGTGGTGGAGGTGGAGGAAGGAGGTCCTGGTCAGGGACCGGATGTGGGTCAGGAAGGACAGCTGGGGGTCGATCTGGGGGATATATGAAATGCAAGGATTATTTTTTATTATAAGGATTATTATTATATGGATTGGGTCATGGTAATAACACAAGCCAATCTCAACAGCATTACTTTCACTCAAGGAGTAATTGATGTAAACAGAAATTACATTTGATCTTAGAGATGGCAGTGACACTTTTGCCTCCCCAACCCCCCCCCCCTCTCTCTGTCTTGCTTCCTCTCGCTCTCAGATTGTATAACGCATTGCTGTTCAGTCTGTGGTTGACCCCCCCCCCCCCCCAATCGCCATGATGATCTTCTGTCCGTTGTCACCAGCTTTGATGTTCGTGGCTTCTTGCTGTGAGATTCCTATTTAGTGTCTTGCTTTATCTTGAAAAAGCAGCAGCGGGTGACTTTGTGTCTATAACAAGTGAAGAAAAGTAAACAGACCACGAGGGCCAAATGATCCCATTGTTTCTGAAAGCCTGACCTGTAGGTGTGGTGCACACACGTTTGTCTCACTGTTAAACATTAACTGAAACATGTTTTGTCGAGCGAGGTTGGAAGTCAAATAATTGAAGTGCACAAAGCAGAGGGTTCTCTCCAGGAAATGTTGAACCCGTGCAGTTGCCAGCGGTGGCCAGGCTGTGGCCTGCTGAACATTTGCGCTCGTCTCGGTGACTGTTTTAAATCAATATTTTGTTTCCATTTTTCTCTTGATTGTATATTCCTTGTTTTGTGGCATAAATCAAGAAAGATTAAAAAACACACAATGTTTAGGGGCTGCATCCGGCCCGCGGGCCACAGATTGGCCAACAATATCTAGGCTGATTCTCACTCAGGATTGTCAGAAGTGCTGTCCTTCAGCTGGGATGTTAAACAGAGGTTCCTGCCGGTCAGGTCAGATGATGTTAGTTAAAGGTCCCGTGGCCGTATTGAAGTATATAACAGAGGTTTTCCTGATGTCTTGGCTCACAATCCTCTAGATACAATTGATTGTTCATTGATTGTGTGTGAGCAGCTTTGCTGCAGGGAGACAGTATATAGTTTGGGACATGACATGTCAAGCGACTGCCAGGGCCAGGATGCTGGAAGGCGAACGAGATGGATCTTTGGCTTCTTTCGCTAGCAAATTCTTATGTTCTTACTGTGCACATAATGGCTGCCATATTTGTTTGTAGTTACTGTTTGGTGTCATAAACGGAACAAATCTCAAAAATGGCAAATAGTAATTTTTGGAGTAACAAAATTGCCTTTTTATTCAGTAAGCTAAATTTTCTCTCTTATTTCTACCTTCAGCCGGATCTTCTGAATTTCAAGAAGGGTTGGATGTCGCTGCTGGATGGACGCAATGAGGTAAAGACAATTGGTTCCTCAAATGACTTACACTCGCATATAAAATAACTTCACACAACAATTAATGAGTGACAAGGCAGGAGATGTGTGGAGCACTGACAGATATACTGAGGGAGTTGATCACTGGGGAGGTTCCACAGACTGAAAGCAAGACCAATGTTCTAACCCCAACCTTCCCAAATATCTTGGTCTGGATCCCTCTTTCACAGCTTTCAAAACTCTCATAAAAGCCTCTGTTTAGCTCTGGTCTCTGTCTCCCGGCACCTCGCCGTGCCTCACACTGTCTGGAAAGCACTTTGACACGTTATGTGAAAGCTGCAACATATAAACAAATTTGTGCATTTGATGTTGTCGTACGTTGTTGAAACGTCTCAAAGCACTTTGCAGGATTTACTGTGAATCCGTAATTCACAGTGTCTGTAGGTAAACTGCAACGCAATCCTGTGCGAAGGGCACCATATAAATGCATGCTGTTGTCGTTATAAAGTGCAGGTGGTTAATTTTGCTGCTGTTCTTCAGGTGTGGTTGTGAATTCAGCTGATTTTTTTCCCCCTTTATTCAGTGGAAGAAACACTGGTTCGTCCTCACCGACTCCAGTCTCCGATATTACAGGGACTCCACAGCCGAAGAGGTAAACACACTGACAAACTGTCTGTTACAGTCCAATTAATTATTATTATTATTGTAGTCTGATCCTTCATCTTATGGGATTCAGGCCCCAAACGTCACACGAGTTTTTGATGCCCATCAAAGAAACAATGTTGCACAGAAACGTTAGCACAGGACGAGGCATTTTTGCTCATCATATTTGACGTGTATTTTCACTCTTTTTACTAATCCCATTTCCTAGCTCGTTCCTCATATCTTTGAGGCCAACAACTTGCATTTATATAATTCCCTTCACACCGGACGGCGTCTTGGGGACCACAGGAAAGCCGAGGGCAGACGGTTCATCCAGTGGGAGATTGTTTGGGGACTGGTTCCTGGGATGCGGGGTTTGTGGCAGAGAATTCCACTGCGATGGGATCCATTCACCACATCACCAACAAACCACAGCGGAGTTTGTGGTGTTAGACGTGAAATGTGTCCACAACTGGCACAAGTCTTGCTTGCCTGTTCCAAATGTTTGTTTTCCATTTCTTTTTACCCCTCTCCCCCCCCCCGCACACAATCTGATTCACATTTTACCTAATGGTGGTTACAGATTTGTGCTGTGATCCTGTGACAAAGGGAAAGGTCTTTGTCGTGACCCCAGTGTTGCAGGACAGTGTGTGGAGTGAGTATAAGTAACTCTGTTCCTCCCCAGGCTGACGACCTCGATGGTGAAATTGACTTAAGATCCTGCAACGATGTGACAGAGTTCCAGGTGCAACGTAATTATGGCTTCCAGATCCTGGTGAGTGTCTGTCATTGCCTCCTGGTGTAGATAGATGGCTAACAGCAACAACAAACTACATTTATAGTTTCACCTCTTGAGAACATCCAAAGGCACTGACGTGTAACAGATACCACGAGGAGACACTTTGCTCACAAGGAAATAGAAACTCTCAACACAGGAACAGCATTCTGGCTTTTCCTATTTGACCTGATTGTCACTCACTTTCCCAGCTCCATCCTCACGTCCCTCAATGTTTTTATCGTTTGTCCAATTCCTTTCTGAACAATTCCATTCACCGGCCTCAGTGGCCATTTGCAATGAATTCAGCTCAAACAACCTTCCTTTGTCTCCCTGCTTCATGTCTAGGATTGTTTTTCCTTTGGGATTGTACAACTTTTAAAACATTGATGACATTTTCAGAACTTTGACAATATTTGACAATCTGGGATGGTGCAGCCCGCAGTCTGGGGAATACTTGGTGTTTATTGATTACATGTAACACAGCGTGGCCTATCGTACACTTTTCTTTTTTAGACCAAAGAGGCTAATTACACACTGTCAGCTATGACGTCCGGGATTCGGAGGAACTGGATTGAAGCTCTTCGTAAAACAGTCCGACCCACAACTGCCCCCGATGTTACTAAGTAAGTTGTTAAATGCAGACTTTGGTCGATTGGTTCAGGTCCTACCTTTCACATCGCCTCCACTTCGTCGTGGCAAACGGCTTTTCCTCCAGCCCCCGCACAGTCTTGTGCGGTGTTCCTCAGGGCTCTGTCCTCGGTCCCCTCCTCCTCACCCTCTACATGCTCCCCCTTGGTATCATCTGCAGACATGGGGTAAATTTCCACATGTATGCGGATGACACCCAACTCTACCTCTCTGCCTCCACCCTCAACTCCAGGACTACTGGCGTCCTGACCGACTGCCTGTCCGACATCAAGTCCTGGACGAGGGGCAACTTTCTCCAACTCAACGTCAGCAAGACCAAAGCCTTCCTGATTGGCTTGCGCCAGCGCCTCCGCACCTCAGGTGCAGGCAGCATCAGCCTCCACGGCTGCACATTCATCCTCACTGAGCCAATCAGGAACCTGGGGGTCTTGTTTTGACTCTGAACTGTCCTTTCTACCCCACATCTGCGCCATGACTGGCACTGCCTACCACCACCTCCGCAATATTGCCAGACTCCGCCTCTGCCTCACCCCTCATGGTGCCCAAACCCTCACCCACGCATTCGTCACCTCTAGGCTTGATTGTGGGAACTCCCTCCTCATCAGCCTTCCCAAACTCCTCCCTTCACAAGCTGCAGATCATCCAAAACTCTGCAGTTTGTGTACTCTCGCGCACCATCACTCCCACCCTCTCCAACTCCACTGGCTCCCCATCCCCCAGAGGATCGAGTTCAAGATCCTTGTCCTCACCTTTAAGGCCATACATATACACACACATACATGTACATATATACATACACACACGCACACACCCATACACAGATATACCCATATACAGATACATACATACCCACACACACACATTTACACACACACACACATAAACACACACACACGTACACATATTCATACACACACGTGCACACACACAGACACATGCACACACATAGACACACGCGCACACACAGACATACATATGTATATATACACACACACACTCCTAATTGCTATTCGAGGCCTGAAATTCTATCCAACCTTAGCTGAGAGATTGTTCTGTTTTTAAAATTCACGAAGCAAATTTGTTTAAAATTCTTAAATTCAGTTTTCATTTCAAACCTGTTTTTTTTTAGATAAAACTGCAGAAAAATAACTCCCAAATCCAGACTTTAATACAATATAATTTAATATAATCTATACGCTGGAGCTTTGAGTAGACCTGACACACTTTGTTTGTTCCCTCAGGAGGAGCATGTGGATGAAAACACCAACTTCAAAACCCCGGTTAGTTTAACTTTGTCTCTTTTTAATGATCAATACAACAACACATCGACCCTCACGCAGGTTAGCGTCCCAGAGAGCTTGACAATGGGCGGAGTACGATGCTGAGCTGGGGGGAAATGGGAGGTGGTCGGTCAAATAGGAAGGACTTCAGGTGTGACCTGAAGATGGGGAAGGAAGCAGCAAGACGGAGGTTTAGAGGTAGAATGTTCCAGAGTTTCGGGGCTTAGTGGCAAAAAACGCACACACACATGCGCACACACACTCACACACACACACACTATCTCGCTGACCGTGGAGAATGTAGCCACCGAGTGGGATCTGCAAAGAAATGGTTCAGTTCCTGATTCAGCCACCGCTTCCTCCACAAACAGGATAGAAATAAATGTGTCCCAACACTGACCCTTGCCTTTATCTAAGTTACTTTTCCCACTGCTTATCGCCACGCCATCACCTCCTCTTCCCCCAGCCCCGCCAAAGCCCCCCTCCCTCCCTCCCCCCGCACCCCCCATGATTCTCTGCACTGAGACCCATATTGCATCTGTTGTACCCTGTGAGATCATTTTGTCTTAGACTTTAAGATAGTTCAGAACTGTGAAAAATCCTTATATTTTGAAGCTTTTTAAGAGCTGCAGTAAATTGACTTCAAATGAACAATTGTCCACAAATCTGCACAATCTTAAATTCTAAGACAAAATAGTTTTACAGGATAACATTAGAGTTAGGGTTACATTAGGGTTAGGGTTACATTAGGTAGAATTTCTGCAAAGAAATGGTTCAGTTCCTGATTCAGCCACCGCTTCCTCCACAAACAGGATAGAAATAACCGCTGACCGTGGAGAATGTAGCCACCGAGTGGGATCTGCAAAGAAATGGTTCAGTTCCTGATTCAGCCACCGCTTCCTCCACAAACAGGATAGAAATAAATGTGTCCCAACACTGACCCTTGCCTTTATCTAAGTTACTTTTCCCACTGCTTATCGCCACGCCATCACCTCCTCTTCCCCCCAGCCCCGCCAAAGCCCCCCTCCCTCCCTCCCCCCGCACCCCCCATGATTCTCTGCACTGAGACCCATATTGCATCTGTTGTACCCTGTGAGATCATTTTGTCTTAGACTTTAAGATAGTTCAGAACTGTGAAAAATCCTTATATTTTGAAGCTTTTTAAGAGCTGCAGTAAATTGACTTCAAATGAACAATTGTCCACAAATCTGCACAATCTTAAATTCTAAGACAAAATAGTTTTACAGGATAACATTAGAGTTAGGGTTACATTAGGGTTAGGGTTACATTAGGTAGAATTTCCAGCTTCTAATCTGCAGTTTTAAATGGATTGTCTTTAAAAATTTCAGCTTAACAGACAACAATAAGGAAAACTCATTCCCGGAAACTGTGACTAAACGGAATGCGTTGAAACAAGAGCCGGTCACCGCAGACCGCTGGAAATTGGAGATTGAGCGGAATCTCCGCTCAGAAGAACAACAGAGACAGCAACAGCCGCCAGCCTTGACCTGTGTGGAACTGGAGCCCATAGACCACCGTGTGGCCATCGAGCCTGTGTACGGCAGAGAGATCCCGGGAGGGAAGATGGCCGATTCCCGAAATGAGTGCTACAAAGCCAGTGAGCCCGGGCCAGAACATGCCCAGAGGACAGAGGAGCCGAGGAGGTGGTTTGAGTCGAGTTTGGGACTGTCACAACCTGAGGAACCTGGGGCCGACACAACCAGAAAGCCAATGGGAAAGGTTCTCGTCTCTTCCCGACCTCCCGAACATCTCCTCAAAGAGATTGAGACAAAGTGGTTGGAAATTGAGCGTCTTCCCCTCCGAGATCACAAGCAAGTGCCTCTGCCTTTCACCTCCAGCCCGAGCCCGAGCGACAACAACTTAGAGCTGACAGAGCAGCTGAGGAATGAGGTGGGCGACTCCTGCTGTGTGTGGCTAACACCAGCTTGTGTGAAAATGCTTGTCTGTGTTAATTAATAGAAATGTTTTCCATTTACTCTTCCCCCACCTCCCCCCCAACCATGTGGGCTTTAACCCCAAGGCCAACAATCCCCCAATTAAATAAATCCTTCACATCATAGCTGTTCGTGGGACATTGCTGTGCACAAATTGTCTGTCATATTCACCAACAAAATACCCTATGTCACGACATCTTATATTGAATTCCGTGAGGTGCTTTGACACATTCCCCTGGTGTGAAAGGTGTCGTGTAAAGATGACCCAGAGCCAAGTTGATTCCGGTGTCACCACAGTTGTGAGAGCTCCCACTGGCCGGCCGTCCCCAATGATCCTCTCAGGGCTGAGCACAGACATCACCAGCGTCCTTTCATGTCTGTCTTGTGGACTTTTGCTCTCTGTTATCGCAGCTTGTATTCCCTCCTGATCCAAAATTACCTTAGATTCTAATGAATTGACTTGTGGAACGACAGTGTCCGGTACAGATTAGCTCCCAGCAGTCGATTATATAAATAACAACATTCACTTCATTTCTAATTTATTGTCTTTTGTAAAGTACTTTGAGGCATTTATTTTGACTGAAGGGTTTTCTTGCTCCAGTCTATCAGTACCCAGCTGAGGTGATCAGAGAGGGGGGGTAATATCTGTGCCTTTTATGTGTATGTTTTGTTTAATAATCTGTATTTTGAACATTTGAAGAATAATATTTTTGTCAAGGGGAATGGGATTGGAGTCAAACCCAGTGGGAAGGTTTCACAAAGAGTAAACACAATGACCTCCTTCCGTCCTGTAAACAGCAATTGGCTGCCGTGTTTTACCCACAAAATGAACAGTCGCTACACTTTACAGTGTGTCCTGTGAAGCGCTTTGAGACGTCTCGAAGACGTGATAAGGCCCTGTATCAAAACCAAGGATTCTTATTATTAGATTCTGTATTTTCTAATTAGGCAATCGCTAGCTTTTGCTCAGTGTCCACCTGTGAAAAGGAGAATTGTAATTGTTTTCTCTGCTGTCCACACTGATTACAGGCAGTTCCTACCTCGGCCAAATCCCCTTAAACATTTGCCAGAAACAATTGATGGAAGCATGAAGATAAACCAGAAAATCGCAAGAAATTTGCCTAGATTTAACACTTGTATAATAATTAATAATTCTTGCGTTTGCTGTCAAGTCTACTGACTATACTTGCAGACAAACAAAGTGATAAATTTGCTCACAGCAATGTCCCACAAACAGCCTGAAACAGAAGACCAACTTGGCAGGACTGTGAGGATAAATTTCCTTCTTTCCGAAGTTATTTTCAGTAGCGATTGTATCTCAGGCACCGCCAGAACCTCCAATAAGGAAGGTTGTGGCCCTGGGTCTAATACTGCAATGTCAGCCCCGACTGTGTGTCAGCTCAATCTCACCTTGTTTCTTACTTTTCAGATCTGTTCCCTGAATTTACAGCTCGATCGATCGCGGAGGGAATTGGAATCTTTTCGGGAGCAGAACAGCCGGCTCCAGGGACATTATCCGGATTATCACAAGTTATCCCGAGAGTCGGGGGTGAAGATTCCTCGGGGCTACATCTCCCAGGTAACGACACAGCTTCAGCCCTGGCTCAGGCTGTACCATCGCCAACAACCATTGCATTTATTTAGCGCGGTCCACGTGGGGTAGCGTCTCAGAGCTTAAAGTAACACCTCAATACGAGCGTCAGGTGAAGGAGAAAGAAAATCTCCTGCTCAAATGTCCATAAAATAATAACAATCCTACATGTGTTGTAGTGCTTTGCCATTGTAAGGTTAATTACATTTGTGACCCTGCAGTGAAGTGTGAAGTGACACAGATTTTCTCTGTAGGAAACTTGTGAGCGGGGTTTTGAGGAGATGGAGGCGTCTCATCGGAAGGCGATGGAGGAAGTTCAGCGACAGCACCACCGGGAGCTGGAGAAAGTGCGACGGGAGAAGGAAAAACTTCTGAGCGAAGAGACAGCAGCCACCGCCTCTGGTACGAGCAAAGCCCACGCTTATCCTCTCCCACAGACTGAGGCAAATGTCCAAAGGGACTGACCAGCCTTTGGTCTTCGGTGAAGGTCACATAGCACAGAAGGAGGCCATCGGCCCATCGTGTCTGTGCCGGCTCTTGAAAAGAGCTTCCAAATCAATCCCACTCCCCCGCTCTCTCACCATAGCCCTGCATTGTCATCCCCAAATATCTATATACTTCTCTCTTAAAAGCTGTTATTGAATTGGCTTCCACCACCTTTGAGACAATATTGAGATGTGAGTCGGGGGAAGTTACATTTAACGATGAGGTTAGTTAGGCTGGACACGCACTGTCTGTAGAGAAGGTAAGACGTGAATGAATGAATGATTTTATTTGCCAGTTTGTGGACCAGGACACCAGGAAAAACTCCCTTCCCCTTTCAAATAGTGTCTTTAACAGGACCTTTGTTTAACGTTTCATCTGAAGACACCTCCCAGCAATACAGCCTTCCTCCAGCACTAGAGTATCCGCCAATATTGTGAGCTCAAAGTCCTTTAGTGGTGAAAGCCCTGCCAAGTGAGCCAGGCTAACTGTTTATGCCTATCACTGGATCTGTGCCCTCGTTTCCTGCTTCCCTGATGTATCTTGAACCTCCGTACAGTACTGTCTGAGGTCTTTTAAGGACTGAAGAATTGGAGTTTATTATCTTGTTTTACTGTAGAAGTCTCTTCCAGGCTTGTCCATTCCTCTGTCATCAGACAGACAGAGGCTACATTATTGCATTGGCCTGTGAACCATTCGAGTAAGCGCAGTAATAAGGCATCGCTTCTATTAACTCCTCACAGCCTGAATTGTTCAATGCCAATTTAAATGTCATATAATGCAGAAAGATATTTATTTGCACACTGTTTGAAGGAAACCATCCAAATTAAGCTGTTTCATGATATGTGAACACAAGTAATACTTTATGAAATGCTGTGTCTAAGGCCCCAATAGAACGAGTTGCTGTCAGGCTCTATCAGCCCCTGGACACTCTGTTGTTGGAGCCATTTTGTAGAAGAACAGATTTGCCCAAACCCGAGGCTTTCCTCCTTTCTTTGTTCCGTCAGCCATCGAAGCCGTGAAGAAAGCACATCGCGTGGAGCTGGAGAAAGTGCAAAGGACAGAACACGTGGCAACCAACACAGACCTGGAGAGTGTGCGACAGCAATATCGGTGAGTGACTGGCTCAGGCTCCGCGGGAGTTGGTGGGGGCATGAGGAGCAGCAGGACCTGAAGATCTCCTGTCAGGAAGTTCTCAAACCCAGTAATGTGCAATCCCGTGTGCTCATTGCTGTGTGAAAGATGTGATTTGTTTTGCACTTTTCAGATTGTGGATAAATTGAGTGTCTGAGGCTTTTCCTGAGCTACAACACAACATTACATTTGTAAAGTGTCTTTCATGTCGGGAAGACGTCCCAAGACTCTGGTCTCTCTCCCGGTAAAGCTTTCACTGCCGTGGGTAAGGGGCTACCAGAGGAGAGAAAAACACTTGAAATGTTTCAGTAGATATGACCTCAGTGTAAATGGCCACTAGATGGAAGCAATTCTCTGTGACTACAGTAATTTTGTCAGATCTTGATCATCTCTGGCTTTGATGTTCCTGGCGCAGATGTGTGTGTTATTGTAAACTGTAGATTCTGGAATCTGGATTATGATTTTTTTGATTAACAATTTTTCTCTGGGTTGGACAGACTAACAAATGGCTCCTCCGCTGGCCAAGGCCAGGCCAGCTCCATATTAGGGGGACGGACATGTTTGACAATGGAATGTCAGGATCGAGTCAGGCTCAATTCAATGGTGCCAATGGAAATGCCTGAGCTCCTGCCTCTGTGGGGGATGCTCTGGGTCGTTGCCCTGCGTGAGGGATACTGGATAAATACTGTTGTTGTTGTTGTTGTTGTAGCTGTGATTTGGAGTTACTGCAGCGGGAGCTACAGGTGCTATCGGAGCAGTATTCCCAGAAATGCCTGGAGATCAGTGATCGGATGAAAGAGACAGAATTCCGGGAGAAGGAGCTGGCTCAAATCCAGCGAGAGAACCAGGAGCTGCTGAAACAAAACCAGGTAAAGCTGTGTTCACACTCGGCAGCAAATCCATCCTGAAATGTGTAACATTCCTAATCTTATCACCTAATGTTATGGTCAAAATATTGTTTAAAATCTTAGCAGAATGTATTAGTAACAATGATCTACGCATTCTCACTGCAGGAGCTGAACAGCCAACTGTCTGAGGAGCTGGGGCGGATCCGAGCTTTCGTGACCGGAAAACACAAGGATAACCTTGGAAATGTGCCCGTCGTGGGTGAAGGACACGTGTGTGAGCTGGAGGTGAGATGGGGAAAGGAGGGCGTGGATCATTCCTGGACATTCAGTGAAGACCATTTGTTATAAAAGGTGTTTTGGAAAAATGGGATCAACTATGAGGGGTTTTGATAAAGTGAATAGAAAGGAAGTATTTTCATCAGTCGGTGGATTCTCCTGGTGTCCTGGACAGCAATTTCCCAGATAAAAATGGATCATTCGTTCCATGACTATTTGTGGGATGTTGCTGGGTTAATATTGGCTGCCAAAACACACAATCACTGCACTTTACAATCCTGTAAATCCTATGAAACACTTTTTTGAGATGTCCTCCCGACATGAAAGGTGCTGTATCAATGCAAAGTTTATTATCTGCATTTCCATGCTGACATCTGTAGCTGGCCGGGGCAGAGAACAGTGAGGAGGGAAGTGGGCGATGCTGCAGGGACAGAGGGTCCCTGAGGATCCCCTGAGCAGTTGGAGATGGATCGTAATCTTCAAACTACTGTGTTCCTTGTGGCACATGTTAGGAACTTTTCTGTCGTGGACTTGTTTGCAAGAGGGTGAATAATAATCCTTGCATTAAATATAGCATCTTGGAGACGTCTCAAAGCGTTTCACAGAATATACTGTAAAGTGAATTGACAGCAGTGTCCCTCCCACAAACAGTCAGAAATTGAAGTGACCAATTTATTATTACTATTTTTTTGAAGGAATTATTATCCTGGAAAAGCGATCCGCCAATCGACTAACAACTGGGTTCCCACTTACTGCTCGGTGGAGTGAGAAAACTTGCGCAACGTTTCACCATGCCGGGAATTGAACCCCAGTTTCTCGCTTGCGAGGCGAGTGCTCTAACCACTGAGCTACAGTCCTCCCCTCGGGGCCTGTTTGGGTGCTGTACAACCTGTAAAGCTCTGTCAAACTTTGTGCTGAAATCACCAATGTTTAAATTGAGACGATACAACTGCCATTGTGGGATTTGTTAGTGCAATAACATTGGGATAGTGTCCCGGAGCGCATCACAGTGGCGGAGTCTTGACAACCAGCCAAGGGGAGAGGGAGGGGGAAGCGATCGTAAACATCAACAAAAAGGAAGGTCTTTAGGCAGATTTGAAGGTAGAAAGACGGCAAAGTGGAGGGATCGAGTTCCAGAGTTTGGGAGCATGGAGGTTGAAGGCACGGCCACCGATGGTGGAGTGGAGGGCACGAGGAACAATTAGGAGGCCGGAGGCAAGCAGTTCGTGGAGCGGGGGGGAAGCGGGGCGGAGAGTTAGGGAGGTGCGAGGGAGTGAAGTGATTTGAAAACGAGTGAGAGGGGATCTTGAAGTCGATCCGTTCGGTGATTGGGAGCCAGTGGAGCCTCGGGAGGATAATACAGTAACGTTCTGACTGCACTGTCTCAGTAGCTGGGAGTTATTCTGGGAGTTATTCTGGGAGGTGAACTATTAAAGGCCTGTTTATCTGATCCTCAGGTTGTCCTGCGGGTGAAGGAGAATGAAGTACAATATCTGAAGAAGGAGATTCAGTGCCTCAGGGATGAGCTGCAGGCTCTGCAGTGGGTAAGTGCAGTTTGCTGGGGGTTTGCAATACTGGTTGAAGGAGTGGAGACCTCAGGCTGTTGTACGTTATCGTTTGGCTTTTTTCTGCAGGATAAGAAATACGCCACGGATAGGTACAAAGACATTTATACAGAACTGAGTGTCATGAAGGTGCGGACTGAGCGGGAACTCTCTCAGCTGAAAGAACAGCTTGTGTTGGCGATGGCTGCTCTGGAGGAGAAAGAATCTGTACTAAACAGCGTTGAAAAATGAAGGTGTGTCCGGGTAGCTGTGAGCTGGCGCCATGGTGGGATTTGAAAGTATTGTAGACTGACAGCCCGTAACAGGCTAGGAAGGAAGTGTAAAGTCTTGCATTGTCCTCTGCAGGAGAAGACAACCCTAGGTTTGCTCTTCAGGTGGAAGTTAAAGATCCTCGGACATTGTTCTAACGCAGTCAACAATTCTCCAGATAAATTGATTGTTCACCAAATAGCTATTTGTTGTGCGTGTGATGCTTACCAATAAGTACAGTCATTACACTTGTTATTGTGATGAGGGGCATAATCAGGTGCCATAACAATGCCATTTTTTTTATCGCCTAACAAAAATGCAATGAAGCATTTTACAAAGTTAGATTATTTTGACATGATGTGAATATTGATTCCACTTATTTGCACCCAGTAAAATCACAACAAACAGCAACGGAATCAGGCGCCAAGTCATTGGAATTTTTGGATGAGAGAAAATAACTGTGAGGAAAACTCCCTTTTTCTAAATAAGCAAGAAAGGAAGGAATTCCCAGTAAATTACAGACAAACAGGATCTCATTTAATGACTCAAGAAGAAGGTTTAGTCATTTGTTTCTTTGATAAATATATTATACATTAGAATATACAGCACAGAAACAGGCCCTTTGGCCCAACTGGTCTATGCCGGTGTTTATGTTCCACATGAGCCTCCTCCTGCCCTTCTTCAACTAAGCCTTCAAGCCTAACATTCTATTCCTGTCTCCCTCATGTACCTCTCCAGCTTCCCCTTAAATACATCTGTGCTATTTGCCTCAACAACTCCTTGTGGTCGCATGTTCCACATTCCCCCTACTCTTTGTGTGAAGAAATAGCTTCTAACTTCCCTATTTGATCTATTTGTGACTATCTATTATTGATGGCCCTGGTTTTGGTCTCCCCCACAAGTGGAAACATCTTCCCTATGTCGACCCTATCAAAACCTTTCAGCATTTTAAAGACCTCTATCAGGTCACCCCTTACCCTCCTCTTTTCAAGAGAAAAGTCCCAGCATATTCAGCCTTTCCTGATATAACCTTTCCTTTGTGAATCTCCTTTGCACCCTCTCCAGGGCCTCTACATCCCTTCTATAATGTGGGGACCAGAACTGCACAGTATTCTAAGTGTGGTCTAACCAAGGTTCTATAGCAGTTAACCATAACTTCCCTGCTTTTCATTTCTATCCCTCTAGAAATGAACCCCAATGCCTGGTTTGCCTTTTTATGTCCTTATTAACCTGTGAATTGTGTATGTGTACCCCTAGATCCTTTTGGTCCTCTACCCCATTTAGCTTTTCATTTTACAGGATGTATGTGACTTTGTTATTCCTTCTACCAAAATGTACCACCTCACACTTTCGTACATTGAAATACATTTGGCATTTAAATGCCTACTCAGCAAGTTTATTAATGTCTTGCTGTAATGTGTTGCCGTCCTCCTCTGTAATAACTACTCCCCCCAATTTGGTGTCATCTACAAATTTTGAAATTGTACTGCTGATTCCCGAGTCCAAATCATTCATCATCATAATAATAATAATAATCCTTGCATTTGATATAGCGCTTTTCACGTCGGGAGGACGTCCCAAAGCACTTCACAGAACACACTGTAAAATGAATTGACTGTATATTTGTGGGCGAACGCGGCAGCCAATTGCGCACAGCAATGTCCCACAAACAGTCGTAGATTGAAAATGACCAATTTATTATTGTTTTTGGTTTTGGAGGGATTATTATTAGGTGTGTGGAGTAAGGAAACTTGCCCAAGGTTTCGCCTGGAATTGAACTCAGGTCTCTCGCTTGCAAAGCGAGTGCTCTAACCACTGAGCTACAGGATTCCACATGTATATTGTGAACAAAGTGGATCCCAAAATCGATCCTTGTGGAACACCACTGCCCACCCCCTGCCGGCCTGAGAAGCTACCCTTTACCCCTACTCTCTATTTGCTGTTTTGTAGCCAACTTGCTATCAATTCTGTTATTTCCCCCCTGACTCCACATGCTCTGACCTTATTCATTAGTCTATCATGTGGTACCTTATCAAACACCTTTTGGAAATTACATAAGCTTATCATGTCCATCCCTTAGTGGCCCTATTCTAATTTTTATTTTTTTATTTATATGTCTGTAGAATATTTTACTATTTCTTTTTGTATTCCTTGATAATTTAATTCCATAATTCCTCTTTGCTTTCCTAATTGTTTTATGACTATTTTCCTGACCTCTTTGTATTCTTTTTTGTCGTGCTCCCCTTGTTGTTTACGTACTTAGTGAACTCCTCTTTCCTGAGGCTCAACTTTGCCCTTATATCGTTAGTCATCCACGTTATCTCATTATTATTTAGCTTTGCTTGCTTTTTAGCAGAATATATTTCTCCTGTACTCTATTGATCACTGTTTTAAATGTTTCCCACTGCTGCTCTATCTCTTTGTTTGCTAATAATGTTTTCCAGTTTATTTTCCCAAGTTCCATTCTCATCCCTTCAAAATCAGCTGTTTTCCAATCTATTAACCTGGTCTTTGTCAGACTGATGTCCTTCTCAATCTTTATCTTAAACCTTATTGAGTTATGATCACTATTGTCTAGATGTTCCCCTACTCACACTTCTCTTATCTGCTCTGGTTCATTTCCCATTACTAAATCCAGCAGGGATTCCTCCCTTGTTGGACCTCTTACATACTGGGTAAGAAAGGAACCCTATACACATTGAAGGAACTCCATTCCCTTATCCCCTTGACCTTCCTTTTCTGGCCGATTTATCTGGGGGTAATTGAATTCCCCCATGATTATTACTCTATGTCTTTTACTAATTTCTCTAATTTGCTTGCACATTTCTTCCTCTAAGTCCCTTCCACTTTTAGGTGGTCTGTAGAGCACCCCTATTTGTGTGATTGATCCCTTATCTTTTATCTCTATCCATACAGATTCTGTTTCTATCTTACTGTTGGCTATGTCCCTTTTTTCTACTGCCATGATGTTATCCCTAATGAATCCAGCTACTCCACAGGCCTTTTTCCCATCTCTGTCCTTTCTAAATACAATATACCCTGCAATGTTTATTGCCGGTCCTGTTCTTTCTGTGGCCACGTTTCAGTAATCCCAATTTTATCTGGTTCCTCACTACGAGTTATTGCCTCCAGTTCTCCTGTTTTATTTTGGATGCTGTATATAGTGCTGTACAGACAGTTTAATTCATTATTATTAATTGTTCCTCTCATTTTATTTTTGACAGGTTTTTCACTCTTCTGTTCTATAAGTGTATTATAATTGTGTTCTCATTGTGAGCTGGGATTCACTTTTGCTTTGTTCCTTACCACTGTGATTTGATCCATTCCCTCTCGCCCTGTCAATAACAACAACTTGCATTTATATAGCGCCCTTCACGGGGGTTAGCATCCCGGAACACTTGGGGTTTGGGTAGAATCGGTGAGGAGGAAATCCACTTTTCTCAGCCAAATATATTTGTTAATGATTGTGCGAATTTGGGGCTGACACAATAATAATAATCCTGACATTTGTTTTTAGCGGCTTATCACGTCATCGAGACATCTCAATGCACTTCACAGTACTGTAAAGTGGTGTGACTGCATTTTGTGGGCGAATAATAGTATTCTATAATAATATTGTGCTGAATACTTAGCTGAATTTTTTTTGTGGAAGCAAAGTAAACATTTGTTTTTCCATGTTTTCCCTCAGTTTCTCTCACTTTCTCCGAGACCAAATTCTGCCTCCAGTGCAGAGAGAAGATTGTGGACCACCTCAATAGTGAGGAAACAGTGTCAAGACACTCCAGCCTCTCCTGTGTTTTTTATTGAATAACCATTCCCATGTGGATCACTGCTGTGAAAATAAAACTGAAATCATACGTATGGAGACACACACAGCATCGCTCACACACAGCAAACTCCCTGACCATTAGAGACTGGACCTAGATCTTACTCTGGTGGTTATGCTATAATCCCAAAATACAGCCTGACTGACTTGCTTTTAAAATGTTTTTTAAAAGTAAAGTTTATAAATGTTTATTACTGTAGAATAATCTTGAGTTGGTTTAGAGGACAAGGAGAAGCTGTAAGCCATGAGCATGTTTTGATAATTGTTGTTGTGTTTAATGGAGCCACTTGTAGAGATTCCATCTGCACAAGTATTTACAGTCATTGTAATTACCATTTGCATTGAGATGTGGATTATAAATCAGATTCAGTGAAATACTCTTCGTCTCCATCACTTCAGTTTGGGTTTATTCTGTTCTTACTCCTTAGAAACTTGTCCATGTTCACAGGATGCTGTCTGCTCCCCCTCATGCCCTCACAGTGTCAGCCTTCCCCCTACCCCCACAGTGTCAGCGTGCCCCCCACCAGCCCTACACCCCCACAGTGTCAGCCTGCCCCCCACCAGCCCCCACACAAACTACTCCAGTGGGAGTAGTTTATAGACCCCTAAACAGCAGTCACAGTATCTCTCAAGGTATAAAACAGGAAATTAGCGGAGCATGCAGTAAAGGAAAAACATTAATTGTGGGTGATTTTAATCTGCACTTAGATTGGGAAAAGTATGATAGAGGAAGAGTTTATAGAATATTAGGGATAATTATCTGGATAATTATCTGCTTCATTGTTTTGTGTAATGAAGCAGAGCTGATCAGCAAACTGGAAATTAAGGTTCCTCTCGGGCAAAGTGATTATAATACAATGGAATTTAGCATTAAGTTAAAGAGAGAAATAGTTAAGTCCGAAGCAAAGGTTTTAAACTTAATGGGAACATATTAGCATGGATGGAAGAGTGGCTAACGGGTAGAAAACAGAGAGTAGGGATAAATGGGTCATTCTCGAATTGGCAGGATGTAACTAGTGGAGTGCCACAAGGATCAGTGCTGGGCCTCAGCTATTTACAATTTACATCAATGATTGACATGAGGACATTGAATATAACGTATTTAAATTCGCGGATGACACTAAACTCAGTGGGAGAGTGAGCTCTGAGGATAATGCAAAAAGATTGCAATGGGATAGATACGGTAGGGGAGTGGGCGAGTAGGTAGCAGATGGAATTTAATGTGGGGAAGTGTGAAGTTATTCACCTCGGTAGAAAAAATAGAAAAACAGATTATTTTCTAGAGGGGGAGAGATTATATAGTGTTAGTGTTCAGAGGGATTTGGGTGTCCTTGTACACCAGTCTCAAAAAGTTAGTTTGCAGGTGCAGTAGCAACTAAGAAGGCGAACGCATGATGGCATACAAGAGTAGGGAAATCTTGCTGCAGCTATATAGGGCTTTGGTGAGACCGCACCGAGAGTATTGTGTGCAGTTTTGGTCTCCTTATTGAAAAAAGGACATACTTGCCCCAGAGGGGGTGCAGCAATGATTCACTCGGTTAGTTCCTGGGATGAGGGGACTGACCTATGAGGAGAGGCTGAATAAACTGGGGCTGTATTCTCTAGAGTACAGAAGAATTAGGGGAGATCCTATTGAAACGTATAAGATTCTTAAAGGGCTGATAAAGTAGACACTGAGGGTCTGTTTCCCCGGTAGGAGAATCTATAACCAGGGGTCACAGTCTTAAAGTTAAGGGTCAGCCTTTTAGAACAGAGTTGAAGAAACATTTCTTCACTTAGAGGGCAGTGAATTTATGGAATTCACTCCCCCAGAAGACTGTAGATGTCAGTCCTTTAACATCTTCAAGGCTGAGACTGATAGATTTTTAAAAAACAGAGGGATTGGGGGATATGGGGATAGGGCGGGTAATTAGAGTTAGGTCTGAAGATCAGCCATGATCTTATCGAATGGCGGGGCACAGGCTCGAGGGGCTGAATGGCTGACTTCTGCTCCTAATTCTTATGTTCTTAACTCCCACATACAGCCCCCCCCCCCGCCACAGACACTCACCCCCCCCCCCCCCCCACACACACACACACAGGCGCCCTCACCTAACACATACACACAGCTCCCCTCCCACCCCACCCCCAACACCTCCTCCCACACACACCACCCACCCCAACGCACAACCCCCCCACAAATACACACACACAAACACCACCTCCCCCCACACATAGCACCCCGCCCCGACACACACAGCCCCGCCCCCCACACAGACCCCCCCCATACCGTGCCCCCCTCCGCACACACACATAGCTCCCCCTAAGCACATAGACCCGCCACCCCACACACAGCACTCCCCCCCCCCCCACACACACACAAACAAACAGCTCCCCTCCCACCCCGTACACAGCACCGCCCCCCACACACAGCAACCGGGTTGCTGGGGCTGGCTCGAGGTTGCTGGCGGCCGGGTCGCGGTTGCAATCTTTCTCCTTCTCTCTATCGTACTTTGTCTCTCTCTATTCCAGTCTTTCTCCTCTCTATCTCTATCACATTTTCTCTCTATCACACTTTCTCTCTATCACACTTTCTCTCTATCACACTTTCTCTCTATCACACTTTCTCTCTATCACACTTTCTCTCTATCACACTTTCTCTCTATCACACTTTCTCTCTATCACACTTTCTCTCTATCACACTTTCTCTCTATCACACTTTCTCTCTACTGCAATCTCTCCTCTATCACTCTTTGTCGCTATCAGAATATTTCTCCTCTCTATCACTTTCTCTATTGCAATCTTTCTCCTCTTTATCATACTTTGTATCTCTCTATTCAAATCTTTCTAACACACTTTCTCTCTCTATCGCAATCTTTCTCCTCTCTTTCACACTTTCTCACTCTATTACAATCTTTCTCCTTCTCTCTATCACACTTTCTATCAGAATATTTCTCCTTCTCTCGATCACAATCTTTTGCCTCTCTATCACAGTTTCTCTCCTTTTCTCTGTCACAACCTTTCTCCTCTCTATCACACCTTCTCTCTATTGCAATCTTTCTCCTTCTCTCTCACACCTATTAGTGTTTGTGATCTGATTTGATGGTGTGTTTGATGGTGTCTCTGAATAATAATCCTTGCATTTGATATAGCGCTTTTGACGTCAGGAGGACATCCCAAAGTGCTTCACAGAACACACTGTAAAGTGAGTTAACTGTATATTTGTGGGCGAACGCGGCAGCCAATTGCGCACAGCAATGTCTCACAAACAGTCGTAGATTGAAAATGACCAATTTATTATTGTTTTTGGTTTTGGAGGGATTATTATTAGGCTCTGTGTTGAGTAAGGAAACTTGCCCAAGGTTTTGCCCTGCCTGGAAGTGAACTCAGGTCTCTCACTTGCAAAGGGAGTGCTCTAACCACTGAGCTACAGGACTGAAGCATTCAATAGGAAATTCCAGGAAAGTGTGAATGCTCTAAATTAATGAATATAAACCCTGTGAATTCTCTGAACCATCCAATAGCCAACAGCCCATGTGATGATACTGACTGTTTCCAGCTGTGAAGGGAGGACGTTCCCTTCAACTAGACCTTGTGAGGAATGGGATTCTCTCATTGGCCACATGTCAAACCTGAACCTTTGTGTATTTAACGCAGAGGCTGAGCTCAGTCAAACCATTGGAGGAAGGAGTCACCTCATCAGCTCAGAGAGAGCAGATGAGTTGCTGAAGGCTTGTGGTTCAGAGCAGTGAAATGGTAATTTTGCATGTGGTGGAGCTTGGCTCAGGCTGGTCTCTCTATGGACTATATCAGGTAAGTCTGTATTTGTGAGAACCTTCTGGTGGGCTGTAAATTGTCAGTAATGTTTGTGAAGGGAAGTTGTCCAAACCTTGGGTGTTGTCAGTCTTGTGAGCTTCAGAGACATTATGACTGTCCACCTGCTCTCCATGTCAATTGTGAGCAACTCTTGGCCAGTTTGGCTTCTCTTATTGTGTAATTTGTCTCAAAAACAATTGCTGTTTTGTTACTATCTGGAGATCTGTAGACAACTACCACCAGAGTCTTCCCTCCTTTGCTGTTCCTCAATTCTACCCATCGTGTTTCTGTGGCCTGATCACCTTTACTAAAGTCCTTTCTATCTACTGTTGTACTTGAATGTTATCCATATTGCTCCCCTCCTTTCCCAATTTCCCTATCCTTTCTGAAGATTTTACAGCCTGGAATTTTAGCTCCCAGTACTGCCCAACTTGGAGCCAAGTCTCTGTAATGGCTACTACATCAGACGCTTTAAGCTAAATTTGTGTTCTTAACTTGTTTTATTTTTATATTATGTATAGTATGTATATGTCACAGGCACTTATTAGGGTAACTGTCCTCACTTGCCCATATGCCCAATAGTGTTTTTCTTGCCTTTTTGTGTTTATTTTCTTAAACTGTTTCTCTTTCTGGAGCAACTCAGTTAATTATCACTTTTGGTTTTCTAACCTTTGCTCTTCTGAGTATTTAGTTCTGTTGTTTCCGCTTCAGTCAGAGGTTGTCCTGGAGACAATGCAGGTTTGTGTTACTTTTGAACGCTGGCCTAATGCTTGTTCACACCAAATGATCCCTGGGTATTCATACATCAATGAACTTTGGAGACCTTGTTGCCATCCATCTCGGATTAATGTGAACATCTCTTGACCTGTCCGACTTTTCTTTGTATTGTGTAACTCGTCTCAGAGATGGTGATGACAGAATCACTATTATTTTGCAGTGTTAGTCTTTAAACCAATCATCTAGATTTTGGTCAAAGACGTCCAACTAGGAATTGTTTGGAGATGAGATGCAGCTGAAAATTGTGGGAGATGTAAGTGACTAATGGGCTGAGCTCAGTTGTTCGGTGGAGTGCTGTAGCTCAGTGGTTAGATCACTCGCCTTGCAAGCAAGACACCTGGGTTCAATTTCAGGGAGGGTGAAACCTTGGGCAAGTTTCCTTACTCCACACACCTAATAATCCCTCCAAAAAACAAAACTATAATAAACTGATCATTTTCAATCCACGACTGTTGGTGGGACGCTGCTATTCGCAATTGGCTGCTGTGCTTTGCCCACAAATATATGGTCAATTCACTTTACGGTGTATTCTGTGAAGCGCTTTGAGATGTCGAAGACGTGAAAAGCACTATATCAAATGCAAGGACTATTATTATTGTCACCCGAAGCCAAATGCTGACGACTGAAGCTCATGCCCTGTTTCTCTCTAGCACCTTGGGATTCCTGGAGGATAAGTTAGGTAAGTCTGTACTAGTGGGAACACTATGCTGATGGCAAAGGTTGTATATCCTTTCTTGCGCCTTTCCACACTCCAGAGGTTTAGCAACACTATGTGGATTTCATGCAGGATGTCTGACATCGAA